ACGTCATGTCAAGCCCCTTATCAATCAATTCCGCTTTCAACCACATTTCTCGTCGTCTATGCCATCATCGTTCAATTTTAACAAATCTATTCACGAACAAACTGAATTTCGCAATGAGCGAAATGGACAGCATCTTATAAGAGATCCTAGTTCGTTCCATGTGTGCAAACACGAGAGATAACCGTATATAATTAGAAAACTAGTGACATAGTATTGGTAACTTGTACCATACACTATAAGTGCATAAATAACAGAGATTGTAGCCTACATGGCGGAGTAAACATTCTGGTGTTTTTGCCGTTTGCTTGTGGTTACCCCTATTTTATATACTTTTATGTTACTTGCGTCTCCAGACTCACGGGACACGTGCAATGCATACGCAATCATGTTTTATGTGGTAACATTCACACTTATCTTAAACAAACAACTATTGTATATGTTCTATATTGCAGGGCGGGTGTAGGGAACAAGTGGGACGACACGCCATGTTCAGTTACAAAATACTTTGTATGTGACGAGAAAAGTAAGACATGCACGTTAATGTTTTCTATATAGATAGTAGCGATGGCTGCGCGGGTCAGGCTAATCGGAGACTTATACACGGTATACGAGTGTTCTTTCAAGGCGACCTTTTGAGCCTCAGTATCTCACAAGGGATCTACATTAGGCTAAAAAAATAATCATTGACATTCAACAAAGATGACGAGCTTATTGCATCGCTATTTCAGTTAGGTGTAACGGTTCATAAGATAAAAAACAAACTGCAAAAATAAATCTACAAATTGAATTGTCGGGTTCTAGAGCTACTAGCGGAAAACGTCTACCTGTATATGGCCATGCATTACTTTCGTCATTCAAAATTTTTAATACCGATTACAAATCAATATTGACCCGATCAATAACGACCACATGATTGACATCCCCTGACACCGAAACTGTATCACAGCAACACTGACTGCGATTAGGATCAGGATTATGTCAATTCCGCTCTAGATCTTCTGTTTGGTCTTTTTTTTGATTTGATCAATGATAGTATTATAGCAGTTGACCATGATTCTGTTGCGGTATTTACACTGTAGTGTTTTCTCACAAAAAACCGAGTGAAAAAAATGCTCACAAAAAAAATAGGTTCATAATCAATACAAATTGTCATTCACCATTGGTATCTACGATCATCTCAAAATATATCAAAAACATATGATGGCAAAATCACACGTAGTTTATTAAAAGTTTGGTTTCCAATTGTTGAGAAATTCGGATGAATTATATTATTGTGTTAACGATTGTTTTACATGGATTCTTATGACCAATTTTCCATAAAACATTTTTTTTTAAATAGTTCTTATAGTCCGTTGGCTTATTCAGCTCCGGAATTATTTCTAAGAACATGTCCCGTCTTCTTTCCCACAATGTAATATATAACCTTAACACACACAACATTATTACTTCAGCTTCCCTTCGTGTGTTGACCAACAAGAAATCATTCGACGATGCTCAAGCCGACTGTGTAAGAAGAGGTGGGAATTTAGCCAAAGACAACAGTGCCACCAGAAACCGAGCACTCTTGAGTGCGGTTGCGAATTACCCCAACGAAGATTTCTGGTTCAATGGCAAAGTTGAAGATAAAGTTGTCAGCACAACCGACGGACGCATACAATATTGCTACTCCAATTGGCAAAGTGGACAACCTGACAACAGTGGCGATAGCATACAGTTATGGTAAGTTAGAGAGTCCTCGCGTGGTATTTTTGTCTGAGTACGTCACGCAGACTTGTTCGTAGGCAAACGTGCAGTAATCACTAATATCGTCCCAACTTCGATGAACGACGGACGACAATATTGAACATATTTCAGCAAACGATCCTACGTGGTAGCCGACGTAATCTGACAGTATATCATTCGCCAATGGTCTATTGATTACGTTGCCGGGACAGGTCAGCGTGTTCGTCCCGCTTTCTTATTGCTTATTGCTCATTGAGCAGTTTAAGACCGACGAAAGGTTTGTCCCGCCTTTCAAACACGCAATATGAGGACTGCGAGACACGTGCACTTGCAGATAAAACACAAAACGAACAGAAAACAAAATCAGAAATTTAAAAACTATTGGTGAAATTGTAGGTCAAAATTAATTTAATGTTTTGAACAGCTTGGATTGTTTATTTCACTAAATGGTTGTTTCAGTCAAGTTTTACAACAACACAGTTTAAGGTAGGTAGGCGAGAGAAACAATGCAAGAGTCAATAGTATTTAAATTGTATAAAGACGTTGTTATCAGAAGCCAAATATGTATATTAGTGACACAAATTCTCAAAAATATTAAAATTCTGCCATTTTCAATTTAACTTGTTGACATTTGTTTCGCATTTCTGAGCATAATTCAAGCTCCGGCTTAATATCAATGTTAAGCTAAGGTTCGGACACAAAATGACCGAAAAAAACGTCGTGCACTCGACGTTGAGGTAGGTCATCTAAAGTAGGCGGACGGGGTGGGGGTTTGGTGTGGGTTTTGCTCAATATTGGAATAGTGCCTGGGTATGACGCCAGTGATCAAAACATTAACGCTCGTCTAGTGGGCAGTTTATCTTCTAACGGGAAGCCTGTATAACATAGTAAACACTTCATGGCAAGCAATAACCATCGCGTCTACGTTCTGTCTTTCTAGGGCTGCCGTAGACCACAAGTGGGACGATACTCCAGGATCCAATAAAAAGATGTACATATGCGAGTTATAAAGGTAAGTACAGAACCATCGATAAGACAATTAAAGTTGCATTTACACTTCGCAAATGAAATGAATGTAGAAATAACATTTACAAACATCATCCAACCTAATCAAAATAATAAATAAATGTCCAATTACATTTCCGGTTTCCTAAATTCAGTGCGGTAAAAATGAGGTTTTAAATTGATCATAGATTCATTTTTTTAAAGGCCAATAAAATATAAAATTGTTTGAAATTCGCTGGTGATTTGAAATGCAACCAATTTGATTTTGCTAAAAATAATACTGAGATCTTGTCTTTGAAGTGTTTTGTGACTTAGCTGACATACGGATAACTGACTTACGTGTTAAAATTGTCGTCTATTAGAATTCAATTGATAGCATAGTGAATGTAACACCCACGTCGGACTACATCACTGCTGTGCTTTCTAGTAACTACGCGTTCCTGGGAGAAAACTGATCCTGGACCTAAAGTCAACTCTCTTACAAAATATGAAGAAAGTGTGAAACTTCGCACACATTACATTAAAATAATACGTTTTCAGATATAGGTCAATGAAATCAAATTTTATTTTAAGATTACTAAACTTAATTTATGCATAAAGTTAACAAAAAGTAGAAATAACATACCAAACCAGGAATCGTCATTTAACACAGGCCCTGAAAACAAATTTACAAGTTCAGGTAACATAACGAATGACTTACAATTGAAAAAAATAAATGACAATAACACTGCACAACCTAATAAAAATAAAAGATACGTGAATCTTATACCATGCATAAAGTGATGACAGATGTTTCGGAAAAAGTGAGCACATCCTGCTCCACACGTTGAACCCGACATACATCTTCATGTGTCCAATCAAACAAGTGACATTTATTCCATCCAAGATAATCTATCCAGCAATGTTGTCATCGTGTCCGCCAAAAAAAACACTTTATAACCATCTACGTATGGTTTAAAATATAATACGAGGCATACTCTCTCTTATTTAAATGTACACTAATATTTATTCTCTTTATTTTCAGGATTAATGGAAACATTTAGGCGCATACGTGGTTCACCCTCAACTTCTTTTAATGAATAACTGTCTTATAATTAGGGTAATGTTTGTCTGATGATCAATAGAAACCTTTATAATGCGAAAATTTGAAAGATGTCAAATAAAATACACCAATCACCTCGAAGAGTTTGTGCATTTTTAGCCACCATCCAAAAGGGTGACGGGTTTGTCACATGTCATGTGTGTGTATGTGTGCGTGAAATAACTCCTTATAAACTCAGGCTTTGTTATTTGTTTTCTTAGTGTAGTAAATATATGTTTCATCTTTGATGTCACGTGATCTATGTACAAATCCTTAACGAGAACAAAAAGATCTGGCTTTTGAAAGCCTGTTAAACTCGGAAATGGGCATTTAGAGTATATAAGAGTTGCGATTGTTCGAAAAGCACGAGGTCGGTTTTAATGTATGTTTTAAGCTGGCCCAAGCTCTGTAATGTTTTACACGGCTGAAATTTGCATTTGTAGGTCGTCTCGGTTTTGTGACGTCATCGTGATGTTATAACTTGAAATGTAATAATTAGCTGTCAAATACAATATAGTTGTTATAAATATGAATGATTCTTAAATAGTTTGTTACGAGACCAATCATTTTCAACAAAAATGTTATTCCATTTGGGACACTTTGTGATATTTGTTGCTCTAGTATGTTGTAAATTCAACAACTGGAAAAGAAAATCGGTGCCAAGATATTCTGCTAAGCATACTTATTGTCAGACATCGAAAAATGATGTCTAACAACTTCGGGTATTTAGGAACGTTTTAAACTTATTTTAAATTTTGTTTTCGACAAAAACATAGCATTCTATGAAAATGTTTTTAAAATTATGTTTTCAAATCACCTGATCGTCAAGCTAAAATTAAGATACATGCGCTTTCTTTACAGAAAATACGAATGCAAATACTAAATTACCTAATTTATTATTATTATTATCATTGTGTATACTATTTATTGTATTGCAAAGAACTGATTTATTGTCAATGGCAACATATTGGGAAAGTCAAAGACAGTGAAAGAAAACAACACACACACAGGCATACAAATACTAAGCATTACAATACTAATCTTTATTTGCTCCAAGTAATCCAAAGTAGAACGAGATGAATCAACGATCAGCATCAAACATCCTTGATTTTAAAAATTCTTTGATCAATAAGAGTCTAAGTTACAGGGAAACATTTTTTTAAAATTTTTCAGTGGCCCAATAAATACATTTGACTATTGGCAAGACGAGTTCATGGATCACAAAGAGCGACAGATAACTCCTCCACATAATAATCGACCAACAAATAAAAGGGGACTGAGAGAGCTCAATGCACCGTAGGGCGAAGCAATCCAACATTAGTAGAGTAAACATCTGTACTCGATTAAACATCTGTGACTCGGGCCAAAAAAAGAAATGCAATTTTTAGTTACTTTCTAATTAATAATAATTGTTAAAATATTTCCTCTTAATAACAACTGCAATGTGATCCATATGAAAGCCATTATTATATAACATTGCCAGTGCTTGATACTATAGATGTATACATATTGCAATGAACTTCACGATTAGTTAGACTCAATACCTGGTCATTTAATTATTTAAATCTTAGACATAGACCAATATGTTTGGTTGAGCACTTGATAGTTTGTTTGTATTGTTGCTGAAAAAATACGTTTCCCAAGCCATAAATGCAAATGAGCATAGGTGTATTAACCAGTTTTAGGTTTTATAATTCATAATTATTTTTATCTGATCTACATCCAGACATACAAACAATATTTTGTACAAAAGTGAGAATATTGTTCGAAGATCTGTGATAAATGTAAACATGATGAGCGTTGTGTATAAAGCCTGGCCGCTGAAACGAACTGTTGACAGGGCCTATCCTCGAAATGGGACTGTCATCAGACAAACTGTGGAGTCGACATCATGTGATTCCGGAAGCACGATTTTAGGTAGTTGGTTACATTTAATACTGACACCCTCCTTATATTAATTAATGATAGAATCACGTGACACTATCTTGTATTGATTCTTACCAATGAGAAAGAGCACACGAATTAATAAATTCAATTAATTATAGTGCTGTCAATGCTTCGGGTATTCTAAGTAGCACTTGGAAATCAGTGTTGTGACATGTGGTAAATTTCAGGTGAACGGTATATCTGTATGTACGAAGCTAGTGAATTCGATTCAAGCAAAGGAAACTGCGTCTACGTATATAAATACACGTTGACAGAGAATATTTTCTTAGAGCACTAAATGTGACAATTGCTCTACTCTCTGTGCTGATTTGCTTGGTTAAACCCTCCCTAAATATGCCACGATATCCACATTGCACCCGAGGAGCAGATGGATAGTCAAGATAAACAAAGACTGATGCATTGCAAAGGACTGATTTGTTGTCAATGGCAACAAACATTTTGGGAAAGTCAAAGACAGTGAAAAAAACACACACACAGGCATATAAATACTAACCATTACATTACTAAACTTTATCTGCTCCAAGTAATCCAAAGTAGAACGAGATGAATCATCGATCAGCATCAAACACCCTTGATTTAAAAAATTCTTTGATCAATAAGAGTCTAAGTTACATTTTTTAAATTTTTCAGTGGCCCAATAAATGCATTTGACAAGGTAATATAAAAAAACTCTACCACAACAGCAATAACAACCGCTTGCTGCATTATAAGTATCACTTCCCTGTGAAATTAATGGTTTAATTAATGCCAATTCTATTTCACCTTGCTAAGTTTAAACTTCCATCCAATCTTAATAAAGATGATTCCCCACAAATGCTAGAGGGCGCTCTGACCAAACATTTGCCATAATTAACGTTAATAGAACTGATATATTATATAATATACCTATGCCAAAACATTATAAGCACTGAGTACGGTAAATTTTCATGAACGAACCAAATAGCAAATTGTGGTCAAATTCGTTCAGGATTTAGGTTGCTGTTATTCGCGCAGATATCTACCGTACAATACAACAGTTCGACGTCATAACCTTGGCTAAAAGAATATACCCACACCAGTGGATATTATAACCAACTCCAGAGTTTACATACTGTAAAACATGTTGAAAAAGCGACATGCAATTTTAGCGAATTGTGGTAAAATGACGTAATAGCGAAATGTTGATTTAGCAAATCACTCTTGTCATTATTGATTTCCTGTTTTCACAATACTTGTATGCCGCGCACAAAAACAAATGCGCAGTTATCATCTCCATAAAAACAAAGAAAAACTGTCAAGTGTAATTTGATTCTGTTCGCAATGATAACAAACTGATTCAACAGGGATTTGAAAAAGCGGGTATCGTTGCTTCGTTACACCCAGAACATTGACCTTTTATATTGGGACTCAAAAATTACTAAGTACTACTAATTTCCGTAATAATATATCAGTATCACTTCATTTATTTATTTTCATTGAAATAATGACCACAATGAATACGTTTATTTTTTTGTGTTAATTTACTTTTCAATAAAATGTATCTATTATGTCAGTACGTTCTTTTTGTCTTGTTTACAAAGTGTGTGTGGAGAAAAAAGACGTTGTTTGGCGACCATTTTGAATTTATTATAAAGTCATTAGCGACATCATAAATTAGCGACATCAGTTCTCTCGCTAAATTCGCTAAAAAGACATGCTCGCGAAAAAGACATGTTTTACAGTATATTATTGAAACTAGTGAGTTTAGCGGTAATTATCTATATGAATAACAAAAAAAGCTGGCCGTAACTTCTAAAAAATGTTTACAGAGATAACCTACAAACAAAGGTTGTCTTCTGAGATAAATGTGCAATTTCCTATTCTATTGAAATAACCTTATAGCAGCAAGACCCGGTTCCAAACCTTCCTCCTTAGATCGTACAAGTCATAAAGTGGACACTACTGACTCAGCAGATGAGTAGCGAAATAATAAAGTCACCTGTGATAACACATGCACGTGACAGCTTCTGTTAAACTTTGCTTCATTTCCTTAAAGAGAGCACTATTTTGAAAATGAATCACCAATAAGAAGGAACAACTTGAAAATAATATAATACAAATTTTGTAATACAAGGTTTTGCCACGTAGCGCGTTAGTTTAATTTGTACGTTCGGCTGCGTTCAGATTTGGTTCAGTCTTTATGACAGAGATTTCGTGGCAGCATGACGCACACTGCTACGATAAAACGCATCTGACCACACTTCATTCACACCTGCTTGCCATTTATCCTTTCCCGGCATGCAAAGTGCCAAATGGCGTTTAAGACCACTCCGCTATAGCTATGCAGCGGCATCGCACACGGCTGCAAGAAGAAATATCTATGCGTTTTGTAACAAATTCTTCACATTTTCAAATTTAAATGTATTAACACTTTTGTTAGGATTTAAATCAGGTATAAATGTTATGCTTATGTTATGCGAACGAGGCACTCATCAGTGATCACCCCCGGTGGGGGCAATACATCGAACTTGCCTAATGGGGACGTGCCCCTGGAATAGCATAGTCTCGTTTTTTTCCGATTTTAGGTATAGGTATCGGTTGTTTCACGTTCAATAACCTAAATAACCTGAACATTGTGTTAATAATATGCTCTTATGTAAGTGACAGATGTGTTTCTATGGTCAAAATACATATTTTAATAAATCAATATACAATGCAACTGTTGGCTTACATGTGCTTCTATTGGAGATGATCTTCTAATAGAGCAAATACGGTAACTGTTTTATTTGGAATAAACAGTGATGACAGAAATGGTACTCTGGGAGTAAATATGGGTATAGATTTTGTCACTATCCGTGTATACAATAGTACAACTGTCTCCCCCGGGGTGATCACGTGGATCTGAACCTGGCCATGGTAATTGTGTTGTGTTTTTTTTTTCTATACAATATTATATAATCTAATTATACTCAATTATCAATCTGATAAAAGCGACCCTGATTGGGGTTTTTCCTAGAATGAGGATAAATATACATTTTCAATAAGTTAACTATTATATACGGATATTTGGATTACATTCCGCAGAATAGCAAGTAGTATATGGCGATGAATTGGTCTACCATGTGTAAAAATAATAAGAAATTAAATATATAAATATTTCCCGGTTCTTGCAATATCATCATTACATACTGACTATTAT